AACAGCTCCATGTAGGTAACTATGGTGCATGAGCTGTCTCCTGACAATGGTCATTCTCATTCTACATATTAAATAGGAATATGATACTGCAAAGTAAATGCATAGCTACATAAGACTGCTTTCCACAGCTTTAAGCATGAACACACACTCACACATATGTAGAGTATAATTACTGACCTCATAGGAATATATTATGAAAATAAATGCAAGTACTCCTTCTTTTCTTTAAATGAACTCAGCACAACAACAAAAAGAGTGGGCTTGATCAATACATTCAACAGAGTCTGTTTTTTAATCAGAAAAAAGTTGGACTGAATAATTTGTTCCTTTCAGAAATAGTCATTTGTTAAAGAAATACATGAATGGTTAACCCACTCTTCAAAAATAATTAGGACTTCTCTTCACAAGGCAGATAATTTGTTGACAATTTGGAAAATAAGACACCTGTGTCAAATTACTTCTGTAATAAGATTTGCAATCAAACCAAAATTACAATGAACATGTGTTTCTTTGGTTATAGGCTGGCATTCCTTAGCACTTACCTGAAAAATGTGATGCTATTTTGAGCAAAACAGTTTCTAAATCCTGTCTTAGACTAGATAACTTTTTGTATGGGTTCCACACCCCCCAGAAAAAAACCCACAAAAGATATTTTCAAGGCAGAAGAGGCTTAGTGAAAGAGCTCACCAGGTTTAATCTACTATTATATCTGTTATCAAACAAGCCACTATTATTGTTGTCATTATTATTATACTAGAGGCCTGGTGCACGAATTCATGCAGCAGTGGGGTCCCTCAGCCTGGCCTGTGCGGATCAGTGGACCTCTGTGCTGCTGCAGCCCGGCATTACCCACCAGCTCGTCGAGCCTGCTGTTTGCATCCATCCCGCACTACTTCATGTTGCAGCAGGAGGCCGGGGAGGAGCCTGAGCCCAGGCTGGGCGCTGTGCAGCGCCGACAGGCGTGCAAGGGGAGTGTCCGCAGGAGAGGCTTGTGCTGCCATAGCTGCTCTAGCCAGCCATGAGCCAGGCATCTGGCACCTGCCTGTCAGCTGAGCAGTGCTACCACTGTGGGAGCACACTGGCCACCAGGGGGCAGCTCCTGAATTGAGCGTCTTCCCCCTGGTGGTCAGTGCATGTCATAGCTACTGGCCGGTCGTCTGGTCGTCCAGTCACTTAGGCTTTTATATATATAGATTAGATCATAGATATTAAAGCTGTGATATTAAACTTTAAAAGGTCACTTCCCATTGCCACAAACCAAAGATGCCCTTTTCTTCAACAAAAAAACTTGAGGTTAAAGGAGACAGTTGATTTGCTCAAGTTCATATAGCTATGAAATACATATACATTTCTGACTTCTATCCTAATTGGAAGGATCGTCCTTGAGTCAGCCCTTTGTACTAAGGTCTAGTTATATTTTTACCTTACTGAATAATTTCAGGATCAGAAGTTTCCTCTCCTGATATGTATTCCCCTTCCTGGTTGAAAGTTTCCAGTGGTTTTACCTAGAAAACTGCACCTTGGGAACATATTGATGAGCAAAGGGTGCATGAGGAAGGGGAGGGAAGGTGTACCTTACCTTCCTGTGGAATGTTTTCCCTGGTGGATCTATTCTAGCACAGGTGAGAGACTTCAAACCAGAGGGTAAGAAGAGGAAGGCTTGGTGCAATCAGAGCACTCAAGTCTGTGCACAGACAAGCACAAAGAGTTGTGCCAATTCAAAAGTCCATGGTAATGGTCTTGATGCACATTCTAGTCTTTAGAACTAGAGATTAAACAAACTCAGATTTTTTTTTCCTAATGTGATAACTTCTAAGAGTGATTCCAGGCTTCTGACTCCGGTCTTGGGTGACACCTCATTAGGTTTCTGGCCTTATATTTCACTGATATGTTTTGTTTGAGCCCTTCATGAAGGCCATGGAACTAGGCTAATATTTATGCTTGTTTATAACTCAAGCACATCCCTAACCACTGCCATCACACCAATCCACTTCAACTTTTTAATCTTATAGGCCCTACCAGCATTGAGTTTACAAACACAGAGTGCAGAACACAGGTTGTCCGATCTCTGTAGCAATACCTTTCCCACCCCAGCATACTGACTTCTACTTTTCATTTCATAATATATCTCCCAAAATTAATAGTGAAACCTAAAGACAATTGGACATGTGGTATGTGAAATGCACTTAGTACATTGTAAGTCTAAATAATAATTTCCACTTCCATTTATTAACCTCATATGAAATTAAATGCTTAGGTTGGGGATGTGTGGGTGTTGTGTTTCTGTGTAGTTGAGAAAGAGGAGGATAGGAGGCAATAAATATAATTCAAGGGGTGATCAGCCAACTACCAGAGCACCCATAACATTATAAGAACTCCAGAATTACCTGCATGAATGGACAAACAGACCACTGAAGACTGACTCCAGATTTCTACCTGTGATAATTTAACATGGAAATCACAAGTCTATATCCCCAAGATATTTTATACTTTCATTTGAAAATCTCCCTCATGTAACACAGTGTTTGGTATTGTGTCAAGTGATCAATAATTACTGAATAATAGTGATCATAAGAGGAATAACAGCAGCAGTGATAGAAACTATGCTAAAAGCTTGACGTATATGATCACATTTATTCCTCATAATAATACTGTAATGTTGGCATTACATGTAATACCCATAATACAGATGAATGAAATAAGGGACAAGGCCAAATAACTAACCAAGTTCCCAAAACTACTAGTAAATCATAGAGCCAAAACTCAAACTAAGGTGTGTGTCTTGCCAAAGCCCTTGCTTTAATAAATTAATAAGTATATGACAAAATGAGTGTAATTATACTGTGCTTTTATATTGAGACAACCTGAAAAGGGTTGAATAGAGGAAGTTTAATTCAGTGAATGGCAAATTCTACAAGGTCTTTTTTATACACTCAAGGATCCGAAAGTGTCAGTATGGCCTCAGTGAGTAACAAAAAAATTGGAGAAAGAGAGTCACCCACCTGGAAAGATACTAGAATCGGGATGGAAGGAAACACACAGGCACCACGGCACAAATTTCCTCCTTCTGGTTAACAGTCACCAACAGGAGGCCGTTTATCTGACTCTTTCATTTTTTTTTTTTAATAATTGTGCTAAAATTCTTATGTTTAAGTGGAACACTTTTCTGAATGAAAGCTCATCTTCCATTAACAAAAATTATTGGCATTCTGAAGCATTAGAGTCATTGCCCAATTACACTGAACTGCAGATGTACCAACGAGGCAATTAAGACAGAGTTCCTAAAGAGAACGCTGGATAAGCCAGCTCTTACCAAGAAATGTTTCCTTTCTCTTTTAAAAATATTTGTCTTTCCGCCGAAACCGGTTTGGCTCAGTGGATAGAGCGTCGGCCTGCGGACTGAAAGGTCCTAGGTTCGATTCCGGTCAAGGGCATGTACCTGGGTTGCGGGCACATCCCCAGTAGGAGATGTGCAGGAGGTGGCTGATCGATGTTTCTCTCTCATCAATGTTTCTAGCTCTCTATCTCTCTCCCTTCCTCTCTGTAAAAAAATCAATAAAATATATTTTTATAAAAAAATATTTGTCTTTCCTTTTCTTCTTCCTGATTCTCTCAATTTCTCAATCTGTTCATATGTTAATTAAGAACTACAAACTATATTTTTGAGGAGTTATACATTTCAAGTCTATATTTTTATAAATAAGGTATATTTCATAAGTACCACATTAAAACAATTGATATTGCTATTTGTATAATTAGCCATCATAATTGTTGACTAAATGACTCTGAAAGAAATCTATTTTTAATCACATTTTTTACATAAGGCAACATGTTTAATGAACTCTCAAGCAACAAAGCTGGGAGTAGGAACTACATAATAACAGAACAGAGCAGCAACACAACATTCAACTACATGCTACAACTTCATAATACCAATTGACTTTTGAACTAGCTCAATTCTATACCAGAAATGACCATGTTTTGTAATTCCAAGTTGTATATGATGTTCAGTCTTTGAGGAACCACTGGGTGGGTTGTAGAAGCATGCCAAATTTATTTGTTTCTGGAAGACAGTTTGGGAGTTTTAAAAAGTGAGCAGCCTTGCCTGGCTGGCATGTCTTAGTGGTTGAGCATCAACCTATGAACCAGAAGGTCACAGTTTGATTCCCGGTCAGGGCACATGCCCAGATTGTGGGCTCGATCCCCAGTGTGGGGCGTGCAGAAGGCAGCCGATCAATGATTCACTCTCATCATTGATGTTTCTATCTCTCTCTCCCTCTCCCTTACCCTGTGAAATCAATAATAAAAATATATTTTTTTAAAAAGTGAGCAGCCTTTCTCTGCTATGCATATTAGCACCTACTAAAGTGTAGTAAAACTTCTGTGTACTGAAATAATCCCCAAAGAAGAATTAAACCTACTGAAAATTTACACATGTATGTTAAACATTGTAAAGGAAATGACACAGCCCAAAGATCATTGCAAGGGCAATCTGGAGTGGTTCTTTAGACAGAGAGAAACTTAGACTGTGAAAAGTATAGGGAAAGGGAGAAAAAGAGTGTTTAGAGACTTAGCTCATTGCCTTTGATCTAATCCTCTTTGTCCCTCAAAGCCTCCCTTACCATTGTCACTACAGTTGAGCTATTAACCACATATGGAAACTTTCAGACTCCACTCTCTCATCTCCAACGCACAATAAAAGCCCAGTGTCCCCTGAATTTATTAAACTAGCAAACAGAAGTATCTAAATAGCAATAGAGTCCAAAGATCTTGGCATTCTCCATGTATATATTTCACATTTCAGCTTCCCCAAAATATCTTGCATGATATTTAAACAAAATCACTGTGCCATTTGCAAAATGTCTAGTTGCACATTTTTTTTTTATTCCAACCAACACTAATATACCCTGAGATACCACATACGGCTACCCTCTTAAGGCGTTTGTATGTGAAATCATCATCCACAATACCGTCATAAGAGAGGAATAAAGACAGATTACCTGGGGTTAAGAGGATGACTGACATAGTGATGAGTGAGCATACAACTAAAATCACCAGCAGGGCAATAGCAATCCCCTTCCAGTTTCTCTGTGGAGGGCTGTTACTTCCCAGCTCCTACCGAGATAAAAAAAAGTTTCATAATTATACATGCTCCAAGAGAAATGCATTCATAAAAATATGATTTGGTGCATGGCACAATCACAGTTTGAATGCTGATTAGAATCCTTTTCCTCTTTGGTACCTCATCTATTTATTCTAAGGTGCATTTATTATAAATGGCTATCTTTGCGGGAGGCGATCTTATTTCTCTAGGAGATAAACCAGGAGAGCTTTATGCCTATTGTTCAAAATGTAGGTGATTTTAAATGCATTGACTATAAACACTAGGATAATAGCCAAAATACTCTGCAAAATAATTATGGAAATAAAGTGTTCCCATTTACGTGTTTTTTTTTTCTTGCAACAAAGGAACTTACAATAAAGATTTAAATACAATCATTCTCAAAGCACTATAGACTACGATTTTAACTAGATGAGAGGTACCAGATGAGAGATGGGGAAATCATTCAAAATGCTGCTCACTGCAGAGCCTTGCACAGTTGTCAACACAACAGGTCTTTTTAAACAGTTCCCCCACCACTCATAAAAGCAACAGGGTGCAGGAACTAAATTAAATGAGTGCTTCTCTATCAATGGTTAACAGCATCCTCTCCCTGGGCAGCATGCATGATATTGTCAAGGAGGTGATATTGATGGGGAAGGATGAACATGAGCATCTCTCACAATGGACACAGTAAAGCTCTTTATTTCAGATGATCTGTGTTCTACTCTCTTGACTAGAAATGTGCAAGCACCATTCACCAAAGTGCAGAACCGACCACACTGGTTTGAAATGAGGGTCAGATTTTCTTTGCTATATAGTTTATGAAACACCGAGCCTCCTGGTTCTTCCTGCCCCACCCCTCAACCCCATTATCTCCTTCCCCTAGAGAACCTTCTTTATTCAGAAATATTTAAGTGATTTGGGGGACAAATAAACAAAATATGAAGTTCACTATGTGATCATAAATCACCCAAGAAGCTATAGAGGAGCACTGATTTAAACAAAGATAAATGGTATAGAAAACATTTAATAAACTATAAAGGGGTTCCTGTGACTCACAGATTAAAAAGCATTGAAGCCAATTTTCATATAGTGGAGTTGGCGTTCAATTTTTTCAGAAACGCTTTGGACTTGAACTAGGCTCTAAATAAACTTAAGAAGCCCTGGCCTGTGTGACTCAGTTGGTTGCAGCATCATCCCATGCACCAAAGGGTTGCAAGTTTGATCCCTGGTCAGGGCACAGAGCTAGGTTGCAGGCTCAATTCCTGGTCAGGGCATATAACCAGGTTGTGGGTTCAGTTCCCGGTCCGGATGTATATGGGAGGCAACCAGTAGATGTTCTTCTCTCACATCAATGTTTTTTTCTTTCTCTTTGTCCTTCTCCCTTACTCTCTCTCTCTCTCTAAAAATAAATAAAAATAAATAAACTCAAGAAGAAACCAGGTATTTTGTTCTTGTTTGTGCTACACCATCTGAGATCAACCACTTTAAGTTTGTCTTTGAGGCCATGAACCAAATGCAATAGATGGCAATTCCACCTTTTTTAAGTGACTGGACCCACATCTCTTTTTCATGCTTATAAATGCTTGTTATTCAACGTCCCTTGCATTTTGGTTAACATTTCCATTCACATTTCCCACGTAAATCAAGACAGTAGGTCCTCAAATCATCAGTGTTTGAGTAACAAATCAAGACAAGTAACAGTTGTATTAAGATCATCAACCATGTTCCGGATGGAATGTTACTGCAGATTTCCAGGTGAGTTTGTTGGTGTTGTTGTTGTTTGTTTTTGTTAGAATCTGCATGGTGAGATGATCAGTTATTCTCTATGGAAAGACACCACTTCAAGACTACTCAGAAGTCAGCAGCAGGTGAAGAGATCACCACTGTAAATCAAAGCCTGGGATGGTCAGAAACTCTCATCTCAGTAACTAAGAGAGAATGAAAGAAGGGCAGCAAACATAGAAAGTGGGTGTCTGGGCCACAAATCAGAAACACATTTGTATTTGTTTACTCAAAGAGAGGTGAGCCCAGTACCACCGCTTCATAGTGTAAGAAAAAGAAAAAGCAAATAATATTAAGAAACTGGAACTGACTTCTCGGTCCAGTAAAATAATCAAGAGTAAATATGAATTTAAGTAAACTAACTCTGATCTTGATTCAATTTTACTTGAATTTAAAGCAAATTATTGGAGAAATGACTTCAGATTATTATGTAATTACCATGTGCTGTGTACCTGACATTGTCTAAGACAATAATAATAGCTTAGGAATCTTACTGTGTGTTTGGTATTATACTGAGTACTTTATATTCATAATCTCACATAATCCTCATAAAGATAATGTGAAATGACTATTATTTTGACAGATTTACAGATAAAAAAAGGGATTTAGAGAGGTATTTATTCAAAAATAAATCCACTTTGTATTAATAAGTGACAGATCTCAGGGCCCAGTCCATGAAGTCTGGGCCCTAAGTCTGACTTCAGAGGACATTCATAACCACTATCAAATGCTGCTCTAAAAGTAAATATTTTTAGGATAAATTCATGAGTCAATAAAAAAAATCAACGAATCAAGGAATGATTTGTACACCAACATAATAATGATTGTACTTTAATACTTCTTCTTTAAGAAAATCCACAGTTATATAAAAAGATTTCCTGAATTCTGGAATGCTTTCAAATCAATTTAAGTCTCCCCAGCCATAGCAAATTGATAAAATATACCACTTTCAAATGATAATCATGCTTGAATGATAAATAATTTTTCTTCTGAAAAGACACACATAAGAATATGTGGCTCCTCTGGAATGACCCATCAATGCCAAGGCTTGTGCAAGTCTGCAGTTCACTAAGCTTGGGGACTGCAGACTTGGTGAACGGACTGGAACTCTGTCTTTTCCATTCCACCGCATGTCGTGTTACCTATTCTCCTCCCTCCAACCCCTTTCCTGCGCACCCACTTACAGACACACAACCATTCAACACCCCTGCTCAACTGTCTCTTCTTTCAGGAGTTTCCCCTAATTATGAAAGCCAGATATAATTTTCCGTACTCTGAAAATCTTTTAAAATACATTGTATCCATATGTTGTATTTACTACTTAATAGCAATGACATTGCAAATATGCTTTGTAAATTTTTTAGCCTCAGATTTTTTAAAAACTGTGAACTGTAATAATGGTAATTATTTTAGAATCTTGCAAGGATTGATACAAATGATTTAAAAACTCTTATTACTTCAGTGTGCAGTAAGGAAGCTCACACTAAGTGAACTGCTTGGGATGGTCCTCTGCCACACACTGGGCGGACCACACTCACTCAGGTCTCATCTCAGATGCTCCCTCCTCGGGAAGCCTTGCCCAACCAACTTCCCTAAAAGCACATTCCATTTCCCTTCTATTCCCCTCACTTAGCTTAAGTTTTCTTCATTAAGCTATCATTTGGGGGCATATCATATGTCATATTATATTTACTCATGTATATGACAATATGTGTTAAGCTATTTGTTCCTTTTACCTGCCACAATTTTCCAGAAGGGAAGCTTTATAATGTCAGATACCTTGCTCACCTTGCTCTCTGCTATATTTTTTGCACTTTGAAGTGTTTGACACATACAGGGTAGACACTAGATAACACAAAATGAATGAATGAATGAATGAATGAATGAATGAGTGCATGAATGAATGAGTGCATGAATGAGTGCATGAATGAGTGAATGACAGCAGCTATGATGATGATAATTGTGATAATAACGGTGGTGGTAGTGATAGTAATGATTAGAACCATGTTTAAAGAGCCATCATATCTCTGCTGAAGGCGTTATCTTCTTAGAGTAAGAATCACATCGTAGACAGCTGTCGATTACTTGACGTGCTTAGCAATCTCTGGTTCTCTTAAAAGGTGCTTAGAAAATGATCTACAACTCACTAAGTGGCATACATAGGGTCCTGGAAGGGTAAAGAGACACACTGCCACTAGCCAAGTACAAGTTTTAAAATGTAGCCACTTGCTAAAGATTAATTCACCAGCGAGTGTTTTATCCTCATTAATCTGATGCTTGGATTTCAAAACCCAGCTGCAGTCCTTAAGTCACCTTCTCTTCAACTGTCTCCTGCACACTACTGTTCATTGCTGTGGGAAAGGGTCCTAATTAGCGTGGCTTTGCAATGACTTCCTACAGCACACACCTGGAAGCAACCAATGCACATGGCAGGGCCGCGGAACGAGGAAGGCGCTATGGGCAGCCTGAGAAACACGGAAGGCACTTGCAACATGGTCATCTGGATGTGCAGCGGTTCTCAACCTGTGGGCCGTGACCCCTGAAAATACATCCTGCATATCAGATATTTACATGACTATTCATAACAGTAGCAAAATTACAGTTATGAAGTAGCAACGAAAATAATTTTATGGTTGGGAGTCACCACAACATGAGGAACTGTATTACAGGGTCGCGGCATTAGGAAGGTTGAGAACCACTGCTAGAGGCAGGAAGAATGGAGCCCCTGAGACAGTATGTTCCTGGGAGGTTTGGAGGGACAAAGACAAATATTTCATATTCCATATATAGAGGTGATTTGAAAGCCAGACCCTTGGTGGATGGATGCATCTGTGTGAACATTCGCTGCAATTGCCTAGAGACATGTTGGTGCTACAGACAAAACCAAACTCCATCAGTAGCCTAGTTATTTATGTTGTAGTTACCTCCAATGCAAAAACTCATCACCCTTCAGAGGCCAGCTTAGTTTATAAGACAAAATGTCCAGGACACAGTGTACCTAAATCCAAGTGCATTTTTAATTTGTTCACATGCAGAAGACAGAATGTTGAACATCATAAGCAGAAAACAAATGAGAATTATATGTATTTTAATGTGTCAAAATAAGAAGAAAATAAAAAGCCTAGCCACCAGTTTCAGTCTTCTTGAAAAGCAGCTTATCAAATGTTTGCAGTATTCCATTAACTTCCCCATAGAGAACTCCCATATTCACCGCCATATGCATCAT